CCCTAAACTCACTCCCTAAACCCTAAACCCTAAACGGAAGGGGTTTAGGGTTTAGGGAAAGTTTGGGGCCTGCGGTTTTTATTTCGGGTTTGTGTGGAGCCTCGGCGAGTTTGGCGGCTGAAGGGCCTATTCGTGGGATTCTAAGGGGGTTTAGGGTTTAGGGTTTAGGGTTTAGGGTTTAGGGTCAAACAAAAACTTCTGATGGTCGCCGTTGCCTGCTTCCGGGAAGCCAGAAACCCTCAGAGTGACCAGCCACCCATTTGGAGGTTTCCGAAAATAGGGGACCCTAAAATAGTACCCTAAATAGTAGGATCCTTATTATAAGGACCCCCAAAATAAGGTACCCCTTATTTTCGGAAACCCCCATTTGAATCTCAAGACCTAAACCCTAAACACATTGAGAACTCCCCCTCCGCTTCCGAAACCTTCCAAAGTTAGGCCGAATGGGCAAAGCAAGATTGTGCATCTTGTACATGTCCCTGGTGTCAATGTGCGGCATGTACCCCGTCATCAGCCTGCATAGGCCGGAGGGACTGTTAGAGTCTCTTGAAAAGGTGTATAAACGGGTCCCTCGAGGGTTCCAGAAGGGCTTAGAGTGCCAAACGGGGCTGTCAGCTTCTGCGTTTTTGGTACTAAGGTGGGGGGGTGTAATTATTCTAGAAGGACTTTCCTGGCTAATCGCAGTTTAAATTAGTTGGATACAGCTCCACAACCTGCACCCCATCTCCTCAACATACAACTTTAAAACCCACCCAAAACTCAAACGACCCCCACAGCGCGTCAGAACAAAAACCTCCCGAGATCATCCAACCTGAACCCCGGACCCCAAAACCTTCAACCCTAAACCCTAAACCCTAAACCCTAAACCCTAAATCAACCCCTGAACTCTAAACCCAGAAGGCCTTCTTGAGCCAAGGCGGCGGGCGGTGGGCTCACGTTGATTGTAGGCCTGCCGTGGCTTCGGCTTGGGCGGTCTCGGGTTTAGTTTAGGGTACGGCTTGGGGTTTAGGGTTTAGAGTGTAGGGGTCTCCAGCCTACATGAATGTGGGGTCTAGGGTTTAAGGGCTTGGGCTTTCGGACTCCAGCCTGCTGCAGGGGCCTAGGGCTTAATGTTTAGGGTCTCCAATCCCCGAACACTGACACCTAATCCACAAAGACCGGGCCAAAGCTCGACACCTTGAAGCCCAGGGCACGCTAGGGTTTAGGGTTTAGGGTTTAGGGTTTGGGGGTTCAACGTTAGGGTTTAGGGCTTTAGGGTTTAGGGCTTTGGGGTTTAGGATGCTAAAGGCTGCTATCGAGAAAAGTCTGTGTATTGTTACAAGGACAACACAGGGATAAAAACATGGGTATCCTATCACTTTGCTGTGGAGGAAACGCGCGGTGGGCGCGTTTAGTAATGTCGAGTCTCAGGTTCAAGGTTTACGGTGTTGCGGTACTGTAGCATTAGTAGCAGTAGCAGTAGCAGTAGCATTAGTAGCAGTAGTAGCAGTAGTAGCATTAGTAGTAGTAG